CCTCCCCCCTCCCCCATAAACCTTTGATAATTTATTAATTATTATTTTATCATATCTTACACTGCCCGACGTCTCCATTCACCCACTTTTCTGTTGTCCATCCCCCAGGGAGGAGGATATATGTAGATCCTTGTAATCGGTTCCCCCTTACTACCGCAGCTTCCCTCCTCCCTCCCGGTATCACCACTCTCACCACTGGTATCTTAGTCGGCCCTCAGGGAGACACGGCAGCTGTTACAGATGGGGGACCTCCACTCACAGGAGCCCAACAACCTCTAGTTCTCAGGGCCAATGGACATTAACATCAGGACTTAAAGTTCTGTAACTGTGGGATACGAAAGACTGTTCCCCAGCTTCTCTCCCCCAAATAGATGTCAGACCTAGGGCACTGCTTACCACTAATGGTAAATGATTGTCAAAGTTATCTCCCTGAAGGCATCAGCCCTCCGGAGCAAGCAGACCCTATTGTCTGTCCCACCCTAGGTCACTCCCTGCTGTCAGGGACAGTGGATTGCTTCCCCTGAAAGCTTAGAGTAAACCAAGTCTCTAGCTCAAAGACAATCAAGGTTAGACTGCCTTCATGAATCTAGGATTTGCCCATCTTATCACATGCATACCCCTAATCCCTCCTCTTCCTATTGCGTGTAACCCTGGGTCGTCCCCCTCCCATTGCTGTATCACCTATAGTACAAACCCTTCCTGTGATGTATGTCTTTACCTGTAATTAGGGGGCTGGCATGCCCCCAAAAGGTATATAAGCCTTGGTTAGAAATAAATCACTCTCTCTTTCTTCTCCCCTCCACTCCACCCGCGCTGTGCTCAGACCTGGCTGTTGAGACCATGGCCATGAAGGAGGTGAGCATGCTGCCATGAAATGTGTCTGACTCCTTCATTTTACTCTCTCTCTTATTCTCTGTCACTTTACTATCATCTTTATATATTTTAACTGTACAATTGCACTTACCGAGCCCGTGCTAGTGTGAGGGGCTGGTTTCCCCCATGTGTAACGATCCTGGAAGCGTTACAGACAATTCTCCCCTCCCACCCGCCTGCTTGCACCTCCTTTCCCCAAGAGCAACCTCGGGCCTCTGGGTGGCCAGTGAGGACAGCCCTCCCCACTCCCTCACCCGGTGAGGGGCTGGGCTGCAGTCACCTGGCAGGGGGTTCATGGGCTGCCAGGGGCCACAGCCTCCTTCATACAGATTAGGCTCTTTCAGCCTCAGTTTCCTCCTCTGTCAAGTGGGAGGCATTGACCTCTGTCCTTTGCATCCAAGGAGATCCAGGGAGAGCCCTCGAAGGGGTCCTCGGTCCTGGCTCTGCAGGAAGCAGAGGTCACAGAAGACCCTGGCTGAGCCAGGAGGACCTGGGTGTTGGGGAGCTTGGGGCGGGGACCTGGGTGCCTTTGAATATGGAGTCATGTGAGTGTGTAAAGACAAATATTACAGCACACTGCATGCTACGCACAGCTGGGGCCCCAACTCCCCGGTGCCAACTGTGGCCCAGGTCCTAGACCTGCATCCGATGCAGGATGCCAGACCCAGGGGGCATCCCATGGACTGCTGGGCAGCTGGGCTTGCTCAGCCCCCTCTCTGGGTGGGTCCCTCCCAGCCCTATGTGGCCCAGAAGCATGCTCAGGGCAGGGCTAAGCCAGAGAGGCAAGCCTATGTCTCCAAGAAACGCAGCCCTCAGCACCAACATGGGTTCCCCTCCGTGGCTACCTGTCCACTGGCTTTGCCAGGGCAAGGACTGGGGTGCAGCTGTTTATCCCAACTGTCCTGGACCCCCACTCAGACTTGGGGCCAGCCAGGCGTCTCACTGGGCAGCGCTTCTCTGGGAGCAGAGCACTTCCTATGTTATTGTTCCCAGCCACTGTTTATACTCTGCTCCTAGGGCCACGCAGGGCAATGACCGAGAGTGGCCCCTCCAGGGTACTGGCGGTCATCGGCTGTGCCTGCAGAGGAGGGAGAGCCCTCTCCGCCCTCGAGTGATCCCGGAGGTCCGCAGATGAAAACAAAAATAAAGGCAATGAACCCAGACCAAAAAAAGGGAAGGAGTCTGTCGGAATGTAGACCCTGCATCTTGGGCTGAAAAGGAAATTTGAGCATTGTTTCGCTTACTCTGAAACCCCATTCTTTCCTCTTTTGTGCGTGTGTGATTGTAGTAAACACATAGGGTGGAACCGACCCTTGCCGCCATTGTGAAGTGTACCACGGAGTGACATCTAGTGCATCGGCCGTGTTGCACAATCATCGCCACTATCAAGTTCCAGAACATTCTCATTACAGCAAAGAAAACCCTGTATCCAGAATC